CGCCCGCGGCGCTGTCTGGCTTGCGTTCTGGTTTCTCGTCCTCCTCTCGCCGATTATCTCCTCTGTTCGGGGCGATCGCACCGGGGGGGGCGTCCTGAGATTGCTTCCCTCCCTGCTTCCCACCTCTCCCTCCACAACTCCTTCCCCTCCCCCCTCCCCCTCCTCATCCTCCTCCTACTTTTCCTCCTCCTGCTCCTGCACATCCTGTGTTTGAGTGTCTTGATGCCCGACGCTCGTCAATGCCCGCAGGGCTCAGCTCCTCCTGTGATGTGCGATCTGACGGCTTCGGTATCACGATCAGCTCCCCCTCCCCCTGCTCCTCTTCCTCCGGCTCCGTCTCGCCCTCCTTCTCGTTCTCCTCCCCCTTCTCCTCTTTCTTCTCCCCCTTTCTCCTCTTTCTCCTCCCCCTTCTTCTCTTTCTCCTCCCCCTTCTCCTCCTCTTCCTCCTCGTCGTCGTACTCCTCCTCCTATTCCTCCTCCTCCTCCTCCTTCTCCTTCTTCTCCTCCTCCTCCTCCTCCTCCTCCTCCTCCTCCGCTTCCTCTTTCTCCTCCCCCTCGCAATTCCCTCTCTGTGTGTTCACTTTCTCCTCGTATGTTCCCTCCTCGCTGCCCCTCCTTTGTGTGGGCGGTGCATCCCCTGGGCCTCGTCCCCGTGCACCGCGGTCTGGGACATAGCGGCCCCGCCGCCTTTCGCCTCGATCGTCGTCGTCGTCGTCGTCGTCGTCGTCGTCGTATTCGTCGTGTGCGTGGCCGTCCTCGTGTGCTGCTCCTCCCTGGGGATGCCTCCTGCTGCCCCCCGCCCCGCCACTCAGGAGCTTGAGGAGGAGCAGCGCAGGACGCTGGAGGAGAGGGACAGGCAGAGGAAGGACCCCGCCCGCCGCTGGGCGGAAGAGGGCCGGCAGCATCAGGAGGAGGAGGAGGTGAAGGAGGGGGAGGAGGGGGAGGAGGAGGAGGAGGAAGAGGAGGAGGAGAAGGAGGAGGAGGAGGAGGAGGAGGACAGGGGGAGGAGAGGAGGAGGAGGAGGAAAAGGAGGAGGAGGAGGAGAAGGAAGAGGAGGAGGAAGAGGAGGAGGAGGAAAACGAGGACGGGGAGGAGGATGTGGACGAGCAGGAGGACGAGGTAGTCATGCGTCAAATGGCACATACCAAATTGGAGAAGGAAGTGCACGGCGAAAACACGAGGACTTGCAGGTTCAGGAACGTACCGCATCTGCCAAGGCTACGGCGTCGTGGCTCAGGTGGCGGACTCAAGTCAGTTTGCTGTGCTCGATGTTCCTGACGGTGTGTCGCTTGATGATCCAGCGTTTGCCTTGCTCTTGCAGTCCCAGGCAAAGGACCCCGAGCTTGCAGAGCCGCGTTGTTCGCTCATTGCTACTCGTGAAGGTATGCTGATGCCTGCGGATGACGGAGACGACGGCGACGGATGCGATGCCGGGTCGGGGGAAGGACAACACACGCGTGATGCCCTTGGGTTTCAACCTGTGCAGCGTGCCGCTTTGCTTTCCGTCGACGTTACCGCAGCAGCTGTCTCCGGCGCTGCAGGCCTCCCAAACTCAGGTGATGTTGCTGCCTCGCCTTGCGCCCCTGGTGCCAAGCCAGCCGCGTTCGTTCCTATCGGGGCGGGGGGCGGCGGAGATGGTGCGGGGGAGGGGGGCGCCCTCGAATGTAGCGCTGTTCTATAGAGCGTCGCGTCTGCTCCTGATTGGAGCGTGTTTTTTTGTCTAACCAAGAGGGGGACATCCCGCAAACAGTGCGATATTAACACTGATGGTTTCAATGATGCTGACAGCAAGAAGCTTAACCAAACCCCTCTTACAGATGCGATCCGTTTTTTCGCAACCCCGCCAATGTTTGGACCTTGGTCCTTTCCAGCGTTGGAGGGCAGGTTGGCCTAGATGCGTTTCTTCGGTGCGCGATGGTGCAGGAATCGCGCGCGTTGCCCGCAGTCGCCGAGCTCATGGAAGCGATAATGAAAGGCCTAGGTCGGTCTGCTTCAACCTGTCGCGTGGCGCCTGTTATCGAGGGTCTTGCGGGTGGACTGGTCGCGGCTGCGCCGCAGACAATCGGGGTTGGAAATTGACGCAGTTCGATCGCGCTGCGGTTGCGGTGCCAGCTCGCGACTCGCTGCGCCATGTCGGAGGAATGGTTCGTGAGGGGTTCGTTGCGGCAGTTTTTCTTTCTCGCTCATTCAGCGGGCGCGGGTGGTCAGACGTGGCCCGCAATATTCCCGGTCGGCGCGCGACCTCGGCCGGCGGCGCGGCCGCGGGGCAGCGGCAAGCTTCCGCTCGGGCTACGGAAAGGAAGGTCGGGAAACAGTCGGTCGGAGAGATGTCTGCGCGTCGTTGTGAGTTGTTGATTCATTTTTTTGGCTGCCCGATGCCACCTGTCACGGCGCGTTCAGACGCAGCCAGTTCGATTGAGTCAATCGGTTCTTCGCAAGCAGAGTTGAAGACGCGGTGGAAGGCTGGGCTTGATCACCCCCGCTGCGCCGGCCCGTGGCCGAGCCCGCTAATGGTCTCAGGTTCTTCGAGGCTGGCGCTGGCGCGGGTTCTATCAAGTCGCCCCCCGCCCGCGGCCCAAGTCGCCGTCGGCCGTTTTCTTCCGTCGGCCGCTTTGGGCGCGGCGGAGAGTGGGCAGAGATGTGGAACCAGGGCGTTTTCGCCATCGCGCGCTGGCGGGGTCACGCAGTTCTGGCCATCTTCATTTGTGGGCTAGGATCCAGCGCGACTTGAGGGGGCCGCTGGTTCGCCATTGGCATGCGAATAGCGTCCATGAGTTGTGCTGGCACAGACGCGCGAAGTCGTCTGACTGCGCATGGGCGAGTTTTCCCAGTTGCAAGTCTAGCAATTGCGCCGCGCTTTTGCGCGGTTAGAAAATGAACGGCTTTCGGGTCGGCGCAGCGTTGCCGCCCCATCGGGGGCGCGCGGGTCAAAGTTTTCCCAACCATCCTGTGGTGTTGGGACTTCGTTTTGAAGAGACGGTGCCCCGCGTCTCTCCTTCCTTCCTCCCCCCCTTCCTTGCCCTCCTCCTTCCCCCCCTCCTTGCCTCTGCTCTCGGCACACCTCTCACGCGTTTCGTAGCCCTATGGGAGCTCCACCGAAGGCCCCAGCGGGGGGGTTGCATGCGGTTCCCCCTACCCAGGGCAGCATTTCGCGGCCCCAGAGGGAGCTCCGCCGATGACTCCAGCGAGGGGGGGTTGCATGCTGTTCCCCCACCCAGGGCCGCGCTTCGCGCCCCCATAGGGACCTCCGCCGATGGCCCCAGTGGTGGTGTGGGGGGGGGGTCGCATGCGGTTCCCACACCCTGAGCAGCGTTTCGTGGCCCCATAGGGAGCTCCGCCGATGGCCCCAGTGGGGGGGGGTCGCATGCGGTTCCCCCACCCAGAGCAGCGTTTCGTGGCCCAGGTCCCGAGGGTCGCATGCGTTTCCCTTTACCCAGGGCAGCATTTCGTGGCCCCATAGGGAGCTCCGCCGATGACTCCAGCGGGGGGGGGGGTCTCATGCGCCCCCCCCCCCCCCCCCGCCCAGGGCAGCGCGTCGTGGCCCCATAGGGAGCTCCGCCGATGGCCACAGCGGGAAGGGAGGTTGCATGCGGTTCCCCCACCCAGGGCAGCGTTTCGTGGCCCCATAAGGAGCTCCGTCGATGGCCCTAGCGGGGGGGGGGTCGCATGCGGTTCCCCCGCCCAGGGCAGCGCTTCGTGGCCCCATACGGAGCTCCGCCGATGGCCCCAGCGGGGAGGGGGGTGTCGCATGCGGTTCCCCCCGCCCTGGGCAGCGCGTCGTGGCCCCATAGGGAGCTCCGCCGATGGCCTCAGCGGGAGGGGGGGATTACATGCGGTTCCCCCACCCAGGGCAGCGCTTCGTGGCCCCATAGGGAGCTCCGCCGATGGCCCCAGTGGGGGGGGGTCGCATGCGGTCACCCCACCTTGGGCAGCGCTTCGTGGCCCCATAGGGAGCTCCGCCGATGGCCCCAGTGTGGGGAGGGGAGACGCATGCCGTTTCTCCACCAAGGGCAGCACTTCGTGGCCTCATAGGGAGCTCCGCCGAAGGCCCCAGTGGGGGGGGTCGCATGCGGTTCCCCCACCCTGGGCAGCGCTTCGTGGCCCCATAGGGAGCTCCGCTGATGGCCCCAGTTGGAGGGGTCGCATGCGGTTCCCCCACCCAGGGCAGCCCTTCGTGGCCCCATAGGGAGCTCCGCCGAAGGCCCTCGTGGGGGGGGGGGGGCGCATGTGGTTTCCCCATCCTGGGCAGCGCTTTATGGCCCCATAGGGAGCGCCGCCGATGGCCCCAGTGGGGGGGCCGCTCCGGTTCCCCCGCTCCGCCGATGGCCCCAGTGGGGGGGGTCGCATGCGGGGGCGGCGTTTCGTGGCCCCATAGAGGGCTCCGCCGATGGCCCCAGTGGGGGGGTCGCGAAGCTCCGCCGATGGCCCCAGCGGGGGGGGGTCGCATGCAGTTCCCCCACCCTGGGCAGCGCTTCGTGGCCCCATAAAGAGCTCCACCGAAGGCCCCAGTGGCGCAGTTCGCATGCGGTTCGCTGCCCTGGGCAGCGTTTCGTGGCCCCATAAGGGGCTCCACCGGAGGCCCGCCCCAGCGGCGCAGTTCGCATGTTGTTCCCTCACCTAAGGCAGCGCTTCGTGGCCCCATAGGGAGCCCCACCGACAGCGGCACCCACAACGCGTCACGAACAATTGCTGATGTATGGGTCCTTCGCCATGATAATTTTCCAATGTGGCGACTGTGCCCTCTAGTGCAGATCCATGGTGCCCTCTGGCTGATCGGCCCGGCTGGCGAGGTCGGCCCCCTGCCCGGAGCGCGGCAATCCCTCGCGCCGAGGTGTGCGCTTGCAACTCGCACATGGCAGTCCATGTCGTTGGGCCCCCTGGGCGCCGCGCTGTCGGCCCGCCCCGCGCCGCTACCGCCCGTCGTCGTCGACGACTTTGGCCTCGCGCGCTGTGGCGCGTAGTGCAGGGCCATCGGCGAGGTCGTCGCCGCTGGCGAACTCTCGGGCCAACGCGTTCGCGCCGTCGATATTCTGCGGGCCGAGGACAGGGCGCGCACCCCCAGCAATTCGCCCTTGACGCGCGCGGCAGCGGCCGCCGAGGTTAAGGCGCCCCCGACCCTTTGCCGTTTGTTCTGCGAGGGCCTTCGGAATGGATTGCGGGCCGGGGCTCGCGGGCGGCAGGGCGGCAGGCGCGCCGTCCGAGGGCGCGCCCGTTTGACGGGGCGGCGCAAAGTCAGGATGCCGATGTTGGAAGGCTCTAGTCCTCGCGGGAGGGTTCTGCGCCAGGTTGCTCGCGCGGCGCTGGAGGCGCCGGCCCTTCATGGGGCCTGTTTCGCGGGAACGAACGGCAGGGGGTTGGAGGTGCTCGGGGCGAGACTGGCGCGCCCTTGCCAGGGCGCGTCTGGCGAGTCTGGCGAGACCTTCACTCACTGGTCCTAAACATGCCCTTGCCCGGGGTCTGCCTGGGTGAAAAGGGCCGCCCGCTGGATTGGGCGCTTGCCATTGCGCCCGATCAGCCTGCCGCGTGCGCTCTGTTTCAGCATCCGCGCGTCAGGGCGCAATGACGCGCTGAACGGCTTGTCGTTTGATTGCAGCGGCATGCCCTGGTTTGCGTCGGGGCCGCGCGGGGGCATCGGGGGTGTCCGCGGGGTTTAGAACAGTGGTGGAGTGGTGGTGCCTGCCCCATCTGGGGACAGGCGCCACCGCTCCGTTGCGTGTGGGCCTGCCCGCAGGAGCGCCCCTGCAACCTCGCGCCCCCCCAGGGCCCGCCGCGTCCGGGGGCGCCGACGGGGGCCGCGCGCGGGCCCGAGAGCGATTTCCACCAAACGCCGCCTCGACTAGGCACGGGCACCTGTCCGGGGGCACCA